AAATGAATATTGATAAAGTTTACCTTTATGTACAGAATCTGAATATCGCAAAATATTTTTAAAAATTGCAATAATATCGTATCGTGCGTTAAGTATTGTGATAATATCGTATTGTGGGATGTATGGTGATTCCCACCTCTAGCAGATATACAGCACTGACAGGGGGGCTAAGCTCCTGTTAAATCCCAGTCGGCCTCATCTAGACGCCTTAATCACATTGAATATGGGAACTATTCCAGAGCAGTGTTAGTGGATTCAAAGTCTATTTTTAGTTTTTGACAATGACAAATGGTTAATTAGAGGTCTGTTCTTAAAGTCTTTCTGTTTGCTCCACCATGGATAAGTGTATTTTCTCTGGCAGTCCAACAGAAATGGTGCAAGGAGTCACTTCAGTAAATGAGTGCATCGTCCTGTGCTGCTGCCGTTTTACCTGCCAGGCACTGAGCGGTGCAAAGCAGGAAGCGTCTTCAGTTCACAACTCTTAGCTGTTACATGTCGTGCTGGTTTCTTTGATATAGTATCTGATTTGAGGTAGCAGATTGCAAAAAAATACAACACGGAAAAAAGATTACAGACAAAAACTAAAACAAGGAAGCAGACGGGCAGCCTGCATTCCTCTACCATCTGCTTTCTGGCCTAGATGAAAAGCTGCTTTGAAAGCAGATTGCCTCTGGCTGAGAAAACAACTAAAATCATGCTGCATAATTAGGCAAATCAATAAGAAAACGACAAACAGAACCTTGAAAAGAGGAAAGAGTCACACAAGCTGCTATGTAGCTTCTTTAAAAGCATTGTTGATTTTCCTCATCAACAATTCACACTTTCAAAAGCTGTAAGCACAGCCTCTTTTTTCAAATCCACACACACAAACTGCTTTCATGCATCTACCACAACAACTCAATGCTACTCCTATCAAGGTTAGCATTGATGGTTTCTCCTCTGCACTTATACAACATGGCTAGGCACAAATTTAATTAGCGGGGAAACAACTGAGGAGGGGCACAGCTCGAACAGCAGGCATATGATGGAGGGCACTGTGGAGAGAAGGTTAGCTGAAAATTATGAGGGGGGGAAATACGACATCCCTGTTCGTGCCAAGGGATGGCGGGAGACTGACCCTCATTCTGGGCTCTCCACCAGCCATGCTCCGATTGAAACTTACCGGAGCGTCGTGGACCCGAGTTTCCATTCTCTATCATACCAGCTGGCACTGCCCTCCTCCTTCTCAAGGAGAGGTGGCTTAAAAGGCCTGCATGTGAGGAACAAGAAGGGAGGGGGAGTCTTTAAAAGTGGCATCAATCGCAAACCTCTCGCTTAAACTCTCAAGTCTTTGTTTTTGACACAACACGGCACATCAACGCAAAGTTCACAGATTAAACTGTAACTGGATAATGTGAAGATTCCCCACGGTGCAGAGTGTTGTGGCCAAAGCCAAAATAGGAAATCTCTGGTGAGGAAAGAAACTCCTGACGTAAGCTGTGTGCGTACATGGCTTTTAAATTTAAAGAAATTATATCTTCTGTTGGTTCTCAACAGTGTGCAAGGCATTAAAGCACTCAGCTGCACACAGCTGGATGTTCTGTGAGAAATCTTCCATCAGGCTGTAGTTTTGGTGCTTTGTGTCACTGTGAATTAGAGCTGGGCGATAGAACGATAACGATATGTATTTTGAAATAACTTTTTCTCGATAGAAAA